GGGTGCTGTTTGGGCTCCCCCTCCTGCCGTCGTCTCCCTGTCCTTTGTGGGTGTGCAGACGAGCTTTTGTCACATAACCTGCTTAATGATCAGTATAGTTAGGTTTGGGATCTTCTTTTTTTATATATAACCTAAATAAAATTTCTCTCTTTTAAAGATTTGGGTATCCTTATATAATTTCTCTTGTTTCTTTTAAGTTCTTTGGTCACCTACAAACAAGGCAATTGAGCCATATGTTCCTGTTGTAAGACTATATAAAACGTGCATAGAGGCACACACGACTTCTACCAGTCCGTTCTTCAGCATAAAGGGATGAGGGACGGGAAGAAAAGCATGTTGTCGCTTTTGCTCCAGCACCGATTTGCTGAAGGGCTCCTTAAAGCCTTGGAAAGCAAAGGCAAGAGGAGCTGGAGTGCTTTATGTGTAGAAGGGTTTTTTTTGCTGGGGGTATAGTGGAAAACCAGATCATATGCAGGTTAATGACCAGGGAGTGAATTCAGATGGGGTGAGTGTAGCATAGGAGAAGAGGTCAGCGCCAGGGAGTCAAGTGGGACAAGGCAGGGGACACGGGCGGCAGCTTGCCATGCAGCCCTGACCACAGAAGGGTGCTTTGCAGGAGGGGTGATGGCTGGCACACACGCTGCGAGAGCGTGAGACTCGTGTCTGACGGTTGTGTGTCCAGCTCATCTTGGACCAGCTTATCTAACGCTGACGTTGCCCGGGGGCTGCGAAGGAGCAAAGTCCACTGAAGGGAAAGGGAGCAGGGCCTTGGACTTTGGTACTAACCACAAAACACTGGCGGCCATCAGCTCTGAGCAGCGTTCCCAGCCGATAAACACCCGGCTCCGCCTGGCAGCCGGCAGGGGCACAGCCACCCGCCTGCCCACGGGTACCAAAGCTGGGCAGGCACTGATGGCACCTGTGGGGCACTGGCAGCCTCAGCCCTCCGCAGCTCCCCAGCCTCGAGGAGAGGGCTGAAGCAGCGTCCACCTGCAGCAGGCTGGGACACCGTACCCCAAAAGCCGCTTCCTGGCATCCAGGAGATCATGTCGTGGGGGGTTTCACGCATAGCTCGAGCCTAATTCTGCTCAACATGTTAATTAAACATTTACCAGAGGGAATGTCTTTCCTCAGAGATATTCACCACCTGAGTGACCACCACCCTGTACAGCCCAGCCTAACTTTGAAGCTGGCCCCATTTTGAGCTGGGGGGTGGACAGGACGACCTCCAGTGGTCCCTTCCTACAAAAATTATCCTTCAAGTCTCTGGATACGCTCCTAATAACTGCGGATGTTACCCAGCTAGGAAGGGCCGGGAGCACTCGGGAAGGTAGGGTAAGATCACAAAGTCCTTCTGATGAAGGAGAGACACGCTCTGAGATTTCCACGTGGAATTTAACACCAAAAATGACAAGCTATTGCAGTCGGAGCAGCAAACTAACACAAGCAGTCAGCTGGGAGGAGTATTGCCAAGCAGGATGATGAAAAAAGAAACCGCGGGGAGCTTGGATGGCCGAACGGCAAATCAGCAGCACCCGTGTTGCTGCAGGAAACCGAGCGTTAGCTGCGGGTTGCACTAACCGGAGCAGTGCCTGCAAAATGCAAGAAGTCTCTTTTTTTTTTGGG